GTCCCTAAGACTTTTGCAACCGCATATAAAAACCCTCTTATTAAAGCCACTCCTCTATCAACATATAGGTGGGCTAGTGTATTAATTTTACTATACTGTAATTCCTATACGATACCCAAATATCTAAGTCACCACCAAGACCCGCTCACTGTTAGCATAAGCCAGTTCATCTTTGACCTCATTGTCCTCAGAGCCCAGGGGGAGTTTGTGGATGATGCTTGCACACGCATGCACACACTCACACAAAGGTATATAAGCAGCAGTCTCTGATGGAACACGTGGTCTGCTTTTCAAAGATACTGCCGCTGAGCTCCTGAGGCGGAGAGTCGGGGGTTGCGCAGCATTTCTGAAAATATCAGGCCAAAATGAAACTAAGAATTGGTCTCTGCCCCCTACAGAGGGCCAGACAGGGAGAGAATAAGATGCTGAAATGGGTAAAAGGATAAAGACTTAACTGCAGAACTAAGCAACATCCCTCTAAATACATTCCTGGAGGTATCAGGCACAAGGCAGATAAATAAGATCTGCCCTAAATAAAATCCAGGGCACATCATTTGGATCTTGACAAATTCTGCAGCAAAGCAGCTGCCTCACTAATAAAAGCGGTCAATCTTTCTTACCAACTGTGCTGTGTGTATCAGCTGAGTTGTGAGAGAAACCACAATTCCAGGAAAGCCATGAAAACCCCACACCACCCAGACAAGTCCTTTAAATGCACACTCCCTATCTCCCCAGAAAAGCCTGGATGCTAATGCTGCTAAGCCTGGTAGGCTGCAAAGAAGCGACGGAGCAGCTTGCAAGAAGCCGCCTACCCTGGATTACATGCAGTATGATCTTTGCTTGCTCTCCTCGCTCGGCAGCTGAGTACATAGCTCGCAAATCCCTGTTATCTCGCTAAAAAATGAGCGGGTAATTTAGTCCCTTGCACAGCCCAGCCTCTACTGAACTGTGTGAGGGTTTGTCTGTTTTTTTCTGGCCCTTTTCGCCTTATGCACAGAAACGTGAAAGGGGGAGGGGGAAAGTCAGGCAGACCTGTTTGTACCTCGGGCTAATAAACGCCAGCAATAATCTCCCTCCCAGCAGCCCCATCCACTGTCGACACAGGCAATCCCCGAGGAGGAGAGCGCGCTTGGGGGAAAGGGCTTCCCGGGGCTGACTTGGTTACAGCTTCACAACCCTGCCCACCCCCCGGAAAGCTGAACGCGGCGGCTCTGCCTCCTTCCACCCCCCCACCCCCCAGCCCATGGCAAAAATGCCTGCCGGGGGGATCTGAAATCGGCAGCAAGCTGGGGTCACAGCCATGGAGGGCTGCCCGGCTGCAGTGTGAGCGAGCGAGCCAGACAACGCTACTCACCTCCAGCGGCGGCGGCGGCAGCTGCTCCCCGCGTTCCTTCCAGCGGCGGCGGCGGCAGCTGCTCCCCGCGTTCCTTCCAGCGGCGGCGGCACCTCTGGCTCGGGCCGCGGCTGAACCCTGCGGGTCACTCGCGAACACAATAATAAGGAAGTTTTCCCCTAGCCCGAGCAAGGAAGCAGCCCGGCCGACATCGGTGACTGACGCGGCGAGGCGTCCAATGCGGGCCCCATAAACTCTCCTGGCTGCACCAATCGCCATGTCCTAGAAGGGATCAGGGAGGGTGGGGCTAAGGCCTGGGTTGGTAGGAGAGGGAGGAGGACGGGACTGCGCAGCGATTTGTTCAGCCTGGCAGAAGTGGAGTGTCCAAGGGGCACGTAGTTACATCACTTGCATTGGCTGCGGGATGAGGCTGGGGCGGCTGCTCCATACGCAAGTGGGGAGGAGCTACATAGAAAACGGTCTGAACTCGAGCATCTGCTCCTGGGCTTTTAAATGGGTGAAATCAAAGGAAGGCAGTGCTAGGAAGACAGCCAGCATTATGGTTTCAAAATGCGAGTGTTTGGGGTTCACTCAGGAGACGGAACGAGAGAGAGAGAGAGACTACATATATAGAGCTGATATCGCAGGGATAAAGTGAGAAATCATGTGATAAATATTATATCTTTCCCATTAAATATGTGACAAGACTAAGGTGACAAAGTCAAGCACTCTACGGTTAGGAAAGGCCAGCATTATGGTTGCCTGTGCAACCTAAATTCACCCTCCTTCTGCACATGCCTTGTGATACCATCAGTAATTAAACGATCATGCACTACCCGGTGTAGGTGTGTTGGGCCCAAGATATTAGACAGAGTGAGGTAATTTATTGGACCAACTACTGTCCAGCGACAAATTTTCGAGCCACCCAGAGCTGTTCTTGGTCCAATAAAAGATACTACCTCACCCAGCGTATCTCTCTATGATCATGTACTGTTTCTTTCCACAGGGCCCCTGCCTCATACAGAGGACAGGAATGGTGCTCACTGAATGAGCCCCTATTCAAGAGAGAGGTCTGGGTAACTACATGTATATCCGATAAAAAACGAGTTCGCTGAATTAGGATGCCCCATGGCACCAGTCAGTTTGGTATTTTTGCAAAGGCTCATGTGTAAGGATCACATGGGGTGAATCAGACTTGGGAGCCTCATTATTTGCATAATAATCACAAAAGGTTGCTTGTTTTAACCAGAGGTTTCACATGATTTCATACAGCTTGGCGAACATGGGGACTGTCCACCCCCGTGCGCAAGTGCTGTGGATATGGCGCAGGCAGGCAGTGCCTTGCACAACACACTACATACAGCTTTTAATTTCTTGAAAGTAAAATTTCTGATGGTGACAGGCAGGTTTTCATGAGCTCTTGAAGGAGGCATTTTACAAATGCACTGGGGAAGATCTCTGTCTCTAAATGTACCTGCTGCTGCCAGAGCAAAATTGTCCTGGCGTGCACCCCAAAAGAAACCGGAGGGACAAGAAATCTCCAGCTGTTTCATCTCAAAGAGTTTACTTCAGATTGCCCCCTGGATAGAAGGGGAGTGAGTGAGGGTGAAGAGGCCACCCAAACCATGGCATTTCCTTGAAGCAGCAATAATTCTGGCATGGAGCTCTGCTGCTTACGTCTCCTCTGCTGAGAAAGGGATGAAAGACAGTGACTCCATCCCTCCCTCCCCCATAAACCTGGCAGAGCCCCGTGGAACTCAGGTGGTGGGTAGCTCACGAAAACTCATGCTCAAATAAATTGGTTAGTCTCTAAGGTGCCACAAGTACTCCTTTTCTTTTTGCAAATACAGACTAACACGGCTGTTACTCTGAAAGAAGGGGGATGATACAATAGAATTGGAAAAGGTTCAGAAAAGGGCAACAAAAATTATTAGGGGTATGGAACAGCTGGGACTTTTCAGCTTGGAAAGAGATGACTGAAGGGGGGTATGATAGAGATCTATAAAAGCATGACTGGTGTGGAGAAAGTAAATAAGGAAGTGTTATTTATTGACTCCTCATAACACAAGAAGTAGGGGTCACCAGATGAAATTAATAGGCAGCAGGTTTAAAACAAATAAAAGGAAGTATTTTTTCACGCAACACACAGTCAACCTGTGGAACTCCTTGCCAGATAATTTTGTGAAGGCCAAGACTATAACAGCGTTCAAAAAGAACTAGATAAAGTCCTGGAGGATAGGTCCATCAATGGCTATTAGCCAGGATGGGCAGGGATGGTGTCCCTAGCCTCTGTTTGCCAGGAGCTGGGAATGGGCGGCAGGGGATGGATCACTTGATGATTACCTGTTCTGTTCATTCCTTCTGGGGCACCTGGCATTGGCCACTGTCGGAAGACAGGATACTGGGCTAGATGGACCTTTGGTCTGACCCAGCGTGGCCGTTCTTATGCTCTAAGCAGCACTCCCTCCCTGTCTTTTGTGCCCTCTAGGGATATCTGCTCATGTAAGGTCCTCCCAGTCCACAAAAGTGAAGGAGACTATTGAAGACATAGGATGGGGGTCTCCAAAATCATCAGTGCAGGCCTACTTCTGCTCCCATTGTAATCAGTAGTAAAACTCCCATTGACTTCAAAACTGAGTATGTTTGAAAAATGTCACCCTGTTAGCAATCACACCCAATCCTGCATATAGCTCATGTTTAACTTTAAGCACATCCGTAATTGTATTTAAAGCACTGAGATTACTGAGATGTGCAAAATTAAGCATGTGCATACATTTTTGCAGAATTGGGGCCTTTATCTGTAAAGATATTTTATTCAAGTGAGGTTCACCTTTTCTCTGTTTCTGTCAAAATATTATTTGTAGTTGTATGAGCATAAAAGATCCCTTCTTTTATAACAACATCACGTCAAAGTGATTATTCCCCTTTTTTATCTTTTAATTTTTGGAGTTTTTGGAGACATTTGGTAAAAAAAATATTTGCCCTAAAGCTCAGATTTTTTTTTTACCGAGTTTCAGCCAAATTATAAATTCGGGGAGGGGGGTTTCAAGTGAGAACACAGCTATAACTACTGGTGACTCATTTTCTGATTTTAAATTGTTGTGCAATATTGCTTTGGGCTGTCTAAAAGCTTCTGTGTTCCTCCCAAAGGCTACCTGCATTTCAGTGGTAGGTGAAGGGGTCTATACTTCATAGGCCAGGTTCCATAGTCTTTTTTCAAGTCAGGCTCCCAGTATTAAAATCACCCCTGTGCAGAGGACCAACACTGCTTCAGTGCCACTTAAGGTATCCTATGTTAGTGTTTGAACAGTGACACACACTTTTGCATGGGCACAAAAGGAGGGTCCTTTTGGAAATGAGGCCCAATATCTACAGTCTTTCTTTCCCTTGCAGTTTCCAGGGTTCTACACTGATGGAGTTCAGTCCACCCTTATATGTTGCATTTAGCACACTTATTTTGCTTAAAAGACCATCCACTTAAAAATTACACTTCTGACTGAAAATGTTTCGTGTACTGTTTTTACAAGTTGCCTCTAGATTACTATAAATAAGGGATTAGAGGAAAAATATATTTCTCTTTTTATTTTATTTATTTATTGCTTTGTTTACTTTGTGATTTGGAAGCACTTTGTGTTTAGTCACTTTCTGTGTTTTCTCCCATATACTGTTAATTTCCTCTGTTGTTTGCATGGGTCGTTGACAGAGCTATAAGAGGAGAAGGAAACCATGAGAAGTATAGGGAAATGTGATTATAAAACCACAACATTTGTGAGAGGAACGCAAGGCAAATGTGACACCTGAAACTATTTTTAAAGTATGTTTTTAATTGGCTAGGTGTCAAGTTGATGGAGATCCTTCAAAGCTACTGCAGTACCAATAACTAAAATAATAAATAAAATAATCTCTCTTCCCCCTGCTATTCTTTTTACTGTTATGTTCATATATTTCTTGCATCCTGAGCTCAGGTTCTCATGTGCTGCAGACTTTCTTCCTCTGGTTTTTCAGTCTGCATATGACAGGCTGGTGAGTTTTGACACTCACTCACCTTCTCTTTGACATTCCTATGCAATTACTCGACAATGAGATATCCTGGCATGTGTATACATTTTCTACAACACAAAATCCAGGCCTGGTCTACACTCAATTTTGTAGTGCTTTCGTTATTTTTAAAGGAATTTAGGCACCTAAAGGTGCAAAAATCAATAGGCATTAGGCACCTAGGCATTTTTAAAATCCCACTAGGCACCTATCTGTATATTAGGTGTCTAAATACCATTAACAATATGGTCCTTAATAGTTTATTATAGCCTCACTTGAGTGAAGAGCAGTACATGCTGTGAAATGTTTGACTCTTTTTTATAGTTCCACATGTAATTCTGAAAAATCAATCTACATATATTGGATTCCAGCAATGGTGGTCATTACAGAGGAACCAGACCTTGACTCAGAGATTATTGTCTTCAACAAGATGTGCGTGTTTCCCTACCTATGAAATATAATTGGCAGAGCTCTCTGACTATCTCACTTCTGAAGAGATCATGCAGCTATTATGAACACGGATGATAAAACATTACCGTGATGCTTTTCAATGTAAGTGTGCAACGCTTTTTAGACAGCTTGGTTTTCATACAAGCTGAGGGGAGGGATACTTGACACAGCCATCAGCTTAAGACAGTTGTCATAAACATACAGCTAAGGCTAGCCTAGAATTCCTCCTTACCTGTAAGGGGTTAAGAAGCTCAAATAACCTGGTTGGTACCTGACGAAAAGGACCAATGGGGAAAGAAGATCCTTTCAAATCTGGGCGTGGGAAGGCTTTGTTTGTGCTCTTTGTTGTGTGTTCTCTGGGGAAGTAGAGAAGCATCAGGTCAGAAAACTCCTTCTCCTAAAATCTTCCTAAAATGAGTCTCAGTATTGCAAAAAGAGTAAGTAAATAAGGCAAAGCGCATTAGGTTATCGTTTGTTTTTACCTTGTGAATTTTCCCTATGCTTAGAGTTTTCCCTATGTCTCTGTTTTTTGTAACTTTAAAGTTTTGTCTAGAGGGGAATCCTCTATGTTTTGAATCTGATTACCCTGTAAAGTTACCTTCCATCCTGATTTTACAGAGGTGCTTCTTTTACTTTTTTTTCTTTATAATAAAGTTATGTTTTTTAAGAATCTGGTTTACCTATTTGGTTGGTATATTATTCTCAAGCCTCCCCAGGAAAGGGGGTGAGGGGGCTTGGGGGGATATTTTAGGAACAGGAACTCCAAATGGTCCTTTTCCTGAATCTTTGTCTAACTCACTTGGTGGTGGCAGCAGTACCCATCCAAGGATAAGGAAGGATTTGTGCCTTGGGGAAGTTTTTAACCTAAGCTGGTAGAAATAAGCTTAGGGGGTCTTTCATGCGGGTCCCCACATCTGTACCCTAGATTCAGAGTGGGGAGGGAACATTGACAACAGTGGTTCCCAAACTTTAACAACCTGTGAACCCCTTTCACAAAAATGTCAAGTCTCGTGAACCCTTCATCAAGGAGTATCAGATATGAAACAGCATGAAGGTATTTAAGAAGCCAACTCAAAGAGTTCCTCCGACACAAGCATTCAGATCTTGAGCAGTCCGGGCAAACAACGCACGGTACAACAAAGCTTAAACTTGTTCTTCATCATAATTTTAAAAACAATACTAGCTGCCTTTTTAATTTTAAAAACAGCAAAAAATATCCACCTCTCTTTCCATTTCTTATAAGGAGTCTTGAAGTTTAAATCTCCTCAGTGTGATAGATATGCTTGCTTTGATCTGCTTAGCTCTTGGAAGTCCAGGGGCTCTGCGCTGCTGGCCCTGTGCTGCCCGGGATCCCTAGGGACAGCTCTGTTTGCCATTAGGGAATTTTTCCCCAAGAACCCCCTGTAACATTTCATGAACCCCCAGAGGTTCATGAACCCCAGTTTGGGAACCACTGACTTAAGACAATGCAGCCAACTAGCTCTGTGGATGGAATGCTGGCCCAGCAAAGCTAGTTACCTTGGCCTGTTTTTAAGAGGTCTGGAGTTGAATCCACAATGCAAGAGCAGGAACTTGACATTGTCCAACACATCCCAAGGTGGGGTTGCTGTTCCAAATGCAATTTAGGCTCAAGAAAGACGATGAGGTAGCAGCATTCATCTATTCTGTAAAGCTCCTTCCGATAGGTATCTATCTTCAGTGTAACAAATTTATTAGAGCATAAGCTTTTGTGGGCTTTAGCCCACTTCTTCAGATGTAGAAGTTTAAACTGGAGTTTGGCAGGTGAATAAATATATACGTACAGAGATGGGTGTGAAGTATTATTATACGCTAATAAATTTGTTAGTCTTTAAGGTGCCACAAGACTCTTTGTTGTTCTTGCTGAAACAGACTAACATGGCTACCCCTCTGAAACTTAACTTCAGTGTGTGTTTCAGAGTCCAATGTTGATTGCACTTCTTCCATCTTTGTGCATGGTATGAATTTTTAACTGTGACTTATCTGGTGATCATAATAATACTTATGCATTTGACTAGCGCTACTCCTCTTCAAAACACTTCACAAATAGGTACTAAAATAACCCTCTAAATCCCCCTGGGAATTAGGAGTTATTATAGAGCAGTGGTTCTCAACTGTGGTCCACCACCATTTGTTCAGGGAAAGCCCCTGGTGTGCCAGGCCAGTTTGTTTACCTGCCGCGTCCGCAGGTTCGGCCGATCACGGCTCCCACTGGCCGTGGTTCACCACTCCAGGCCAATGGGGGTTGCAGGAAGCGGTGCGGGCCGAGGGATGTGCTGGCCGCCCTTCGTGCAGCCCCCATTGGCCTGGAGCGGCGAACTGCGACCAGTGAGAGCCACGATCCGCCAAACCTGCGGACGTGGCAGGTAAACAAACCGGCCCGGCGCACCGGTGCTTTCCCTGAACAAGCGGTGGACCGCAGTTGAGAACCACTGTTATAGAGGAAATATGCTCCTTCAGCAGTGGGACAGCTATCAACGATGTAAGCTGTAAGAGGCTTCATTTCAACTGGCTACCAGTTTCTCAAGATGCAAACTGACTCTGAGAGGCATATGGTGAACGTGTGGCAGCTCCAGGTTTAGAATGCTGCTGTTTTCAGCTTCCATTCCTAAGCTCCAAATCCTAGACCACAGATCTCTTTAAATACCATTTCAGTTCTCTTTGTTCTTATCCATGTGAGTCAATTAAAGTCTGGCCACATATTTTCCAGCCTGGAGGGGAAAAGAGACAGATTGCATGTGAGAGTATGATTACAGATACTCCAGAGCCAGGGTACTTTCGGCCAGACCATCCTGCTGAGATCCTTGCAGAGGGAAACCCTCTATGGATGGATCTTTCTCCTACCATACAGAACACCAGCTTGAGTCATAGCTGATCCAGCGCTGACCTCACTGTGGGTGCAACCAACCATAGTTGTCAGCACATGTGGACAATCAGACGTGATTTCTAATCCATTAAGAACTGTTATGGGAGAGCTGTTGGAGACTTCTGATTTAAGGAGGCAAGCAGGTACTGTTCATATTTTGAGGGAATGATGTTTTTGAAAGGAACTGGTGGAAAATAATTGTCTGGAGCTGCTCTAAACCACATTAGGGACTTGGCAAGGGCAGATCCTGCCCCAGCATCAAGGAGCCACAAACATCTTTTGTGCTCTTCCCTCTGCTCCCATGTTTTATTTGGCACAGTTAAGAAGCTGACTTTCCATAGTTTGTGGAATGTTACCGTTTTCTATTTTTTTTTTTTACCTTTCAGCTCATGTTGTCTCCATGGTGATGTAGAGTATCATATCTCTTGACCCAGGAATTCATAGTTGCAGGCTGTATTTTCATGCAAATATAGCATTGGCCTGTGCTTGGTCATTATTACTTAGCAACATTGGAGATGTCATACCCACATCAGGTCATTAAATCTTCTGTCTCTCCTTCACCAGTAGCCAATGCCTAAATTCTTTAGAGGCAGGCCAAAGCAAAGTAAAAATACACACAAACCTAACCAAAATGCTGTTCCTGGTAGCTTGATAGCTATATGGGTAATTATTCAATGCTGTATCTAGGGTAAGTCCCTTCCTGACTACTGTGATGATCAGCTTGCACCCAGAAGCATGACATTTGATTACCAGATCCTCAGCTGGTGTAAATCAGGGTAGCACTATTAACTGATTGTTGATTTACACCAGCTGAGGATCTGGCCTGAATCCTAGCATGCAAAGTTAAGCATGTTATTAGTAGCCAAACAATTATCATGATTCTCATTGCTGTTCCTTGCTAGTGCTAGTTACTGTCCATTCAGTATGAAACCATAATCCCTGCCTTGAAGAGTTTACAATCTGAGAAGCCAAGTGACCAACAAAGGGAGGAAAGGGAAGAGGAACAGCCCTGCTTTAAATACCGTTTTTAGTGCCAATTGCACAAAGGTGCTGTTTAGCCAGATAATCAGCTTTCTCAGTATGCAGCAGTAAGAGAAAAGGTGCCAGCATTCATATAGTATCACTTGAAAGTAATATTAAAATCATTCCAAAAACAATGTCTGTGTGCACTCCCCAAAATCAAGTAGAAAACTGATCCAAAAGGAGCCTGGGGCATTCTGAGACCTTTGTGCCAGGAACCATCGACACAGCTGTCATCATCAGGGCTGGTGAAACTGTTGAGGCCCACAGTGCAACTTGCAAGGGGCAGAGCTTGTCAACAGAGGGCTCTGCA